TTCAAATCAAGCAAATGAAGAATGGCATATTTGTAAGTCAAGGCAAGTATATCAAGGACATGCTCAAGAAGTTTGGAATGGATGATGCTAAAGCTATTAGTACACCAATGGGGACAAGTGGAAGCTTAGATAGTGATGCTAGTGGCAACATGGTGGATCAAAAGATATATCGGTCTATGATTGGAAGCCTACTTTATGTGACCGCATCAAGGCCGGATGTGATGTTTAGTATATGCATGTGTGCTAGATTCCAAGCCTAACCAAGAGAAAGTCATTTAAAAGCAACAAAGAGAATATTGAAGTACTTGAAGCATACACAAAATGTTAGATTGTGGTATCCCAAAGGAGCAAGATTTGAGTTGATTGGATATTCGAACTCTGATTATGCGGGATGCAAAGTTGAGAGAAAGAGCACATCGGGCACATGTCAACTATTGGGAAGATCACTTGTGTCTTGGTCATCAAAGAAGCAAAATAGTGTGGCACTTTCAACCGCCGAAGCGGAGTACATCTCGGTCGGTAGTTGTTGTGCTCAATTACTTTGGATGAAGGCTACTTTGAGTGACTTTGGAATCAAATTCAAGCAAGTACCATTGCTATGTGACAATGAGAGTGCCGTAAAGCTCACCAACAACCCGGTTCAACATTCAAGAATAAAGCATATTGATGTCCGCCATCACTTCATAAGAGATCACCAACAAAAAGGGGACATTTGCATTGAGAGTGTGGGCACCGAAGATCAACTTGCCGATATTTTTACCAAGCCACTTGATGAGAAGAGATTTTACAAGCTAAGGAATGAATTGAACATACTTGACTTCTCCAATATGTGTTGATGCACCCCCCCACTTATATGACATGCCTCTCCTTCAAGCAATCCAAGGTAAAAGTTGATTGGCATGGCATACATACTTGCTAAGGACATGTTTAGTGCATCTAGACATATTTCACATTTGAATAGGCTCATTCATAAAAATCAAATGAATTTGATGCTTGTATGGTACCACTATTGCTTGTATGTTTGAAATGATCTAGTGGTAGCATATGGCATGTTTGTGGGCTTGTAAACCTAGTGGTTGATCTAGAAAATAAGCTATAAGTGTTTAACTCAACATGGTACAAGATAACCCTTATTTGGAGGTGTGAAGAAGCTTGTCGTTGGATCAAACCGAGTTAAATATCTTTTGCAAAGTAATCTAGATTGAACCAAATTGGGAAAATGAACCCCATTTCACATGGTTTCACCCCAACCTATCTATAATTTGAGCTCACCTTTTGTGCTAATTGTTGACAAAGGGGGAGAGAAACAAAGATATGAGTGATATGGGAGTATTTGATATAGGGGGAGAGATATGACAAAGGGAGAGAGAAACTAAGATATGAGTGATAGGGGAGTATTTAATATAGGGAGAGATATGAGATATGATAAAGAAAAGGGATCAATTAAAATTTTAAGTACACAAGTAGGGGGAGCAAGCTCATGAACTTGTATGTTGCATTTGAATGTGTATTTCACATATTTGCTTGCATGGCACAAGTTTTTAATTTTCAATATCCATGCTTGTGTGGTGTATGCTAGTTGTAGGATTGAATGATGAAATGAAAAACTAGCATGCATAGGCTAAGTAACTAGACTCATGCTCACATTATGAAAACTAGACCCTTGCTTCTAATGTTGATCTCATGGGGTATTCTAGTTTTTGTGTATGTCTAGTTACTAATGGTGCTAAGGATGGTATATTGGTGCACTCCGATTGGTATCACTCTTCAAAGGTCCATCTCTTATACCTTAGCATCATTTGGTAGAAATTGACTTCTATATTTCCTATCTAAGCATATGTGCAAGCTACAATCCAAACTCTTAGCACATATGTAGAGGGAGCAATTACTATCATTTGGAGTTTATGAAACTTGTCCATATTCTTTTACACATGGTAAATATGCTTGGGCAAGCAACGTGGATTTAATTAAATCTCAATTCATATCTTTGTGAAAGGGTTGTCATCAATTACCAAAAAGGGGGAGATTAAAAGCTCTAGTTTGGTTTTGGTTAATTGATGAAACCCTAAGTGCTAACCTAGTTTATCAAAGTGATTATGAGATAGGTAGCACTACTCCAAGTGATGAAGCAATGGCGAAGATCATGACGATAGTGATGGCGTGGTGATGATCAAATGCTTAAACTTAGAAAAGAAGAAAGAGAAAAACAAAAGGCTCAAGGCAAAGGTAAAAATTGTAGGAGCTATTTTGTTTTAGTGATCGAGACATTTAGCAAGTGTGATCACATTTAGAATCGATAGCCGTACTATTAAGAGGGTGAAACTTGTATCGAAATGCGGTTATCAAAGTGCCACTAGATACTCTAACTCATTGCATATGCATTAAGGATCTAGTGGAGTGCTAACACCCTTGAAAATGTTTGTGAAAATATGCTAACACATGTGCACAAGGTGATACACTTGGTGGTTGGCACATTTGAGCAAGGGTTAGAAACTTCACCGGCGCTCTTTACAGAAAAGACGAAAGTCACTATAAGTGATCGGATGCTGGTCTCAGTTGGACCGGCGTGTCCGGTCAGTAGCAGGAGTGTGCGCGTGGTCTCGGTCTTCGACCGGACGCTGGCGCTAAAAGTGACCGGACGCTGGCAGGGTGCGTCCGGTCAGTGCTGACGTAAGCTGACATGGGGCGCACGAAGGAAACATTGAGTGACCGGACGCAGGGTGTGTCCGGTCGAGCATGACCGGACGCGTCCGGTCGTGAAAATTCGCGTTTGGAACCTTACCAGAAACGACCGAACGCTGAGGTCCAGCGTCCGGTCACTTTCTAACTGACGTGTTTGGTCATCACTTGACCATTGAAATCGGGCGATCGACGTTTGAAGCCGATGACACGTGGCGCACATTGCACGACTAGACGCTAAGGTCCAGCGTCTGGTCGGCCCGTGTTCAGTGCAGTGAGGAGCCCAACTGCTCTATTTCGTGGGAGCTTCTATTTAAGCCCCATGGCCGGCTCAAGCTCACCCTCTTGGCCATTTGCATTGACATAGCAACCTTGTGAGCTTAGCCAAAGCCCTCCCACTCATCACCATCATTGATTCATCATCTTTGTGAGATTGGGAGAGAATCCAGGTGTATTGCTTGAGTGATTGCATCTAGAGGCACTTAGTATTCGTGTTTCGCTGTGGGATTCGCTTGTTGCTCTTGGTGGTTGCCACCACCTAGACGGCTTGGTGCAGCGGTGGAGGATTGGCATGAGTTGGTGATTGTTCATGGCCATCTCTGGTGATTGTGAGGGGATTTGTACCTTCCCCGGCAGAGCGCCGAAAGGTAACTCTGGTGGATTGCTCATGTCATTGAGTTACCTCACTTGTGGGTAGGTTCTTGTGGTGTCCAATCGTGTGGACGAGGTTTGTGCAACGCCTCTTAGCCGCTGAACCACCAAGTGTTGGTCGACACAACGAGGACGTAGCGTGTTGGCAAGCACATAAACCTCAGGAGAAAATTGGTTGTCTCTTGCCATTTGGTATTCTCCCGGTGATTGATTTAATATTCACCTTGTGATTGGTTCACTCCTCTACACGGCGGTATAATCACCCTACTCACTCTTTTATATTCTTGCAAACTAGTTATGGCAAGCTCTTTAGTGTAATTAGAATTGAGAGCTTGATTTGTTATTTAAGTTCATCTAGTGGAGCTCTTTAGTGTAGTAAGATTGAGAGCTCTTAGTGAGTAGTATCCTAGCAAGTTGTGTGTCTAGTAATCATTGCAACTAGAATTATTGGATAGGTGGCTTGCAACCCTTGTAGAGCTAGAGCAAGTTTACATTTCGCTATTTGTCTTACTAATCAAATTGCTCTAGTTGATTTATAGAATTTTGAATAGGCTATTCACCCCCCTCTAGCCATATTAGGACCTTTCAGCTGCTGGATTACAAGACGAGATTTGCGCTTGGCAAGTCAAGATGCGGGCGATTCTGGCACAATCTTCGTATCTTGATGAGGCGCTGGATGGTTTCGGAGGCAAAGGGCAGAAGTCATGGACTGCTGAAGAGAAGTGGAAGGATCGTAAGGCTCTGTCTCTGATTCAACTTCATCTACATAATGATATTTTGCAAGAAGTGCTGCAAGAGAAAACTACCGCAGAACTTTAGCTCAAGCTAGAATCGATCTACATGTTCAAGGATCTAACCAGTAAGATGCACGTGAAGATAAAGTTGTTCACGCACAAGCTGCAAGAAAGCGGTTCGGTGATGAACCACTTATCAATCTTTAAGGAGATCGTTGCCGACCTAGTGTCGATGGAGGTAAAAATATGATGATAAAGATTTAGCTCTGCTATTGTTATGCTCACTGCCTAGTTCGTTTATAAATTTTCGAGAGACCATACTATTAAGCCGTGATGAACTAACCCTTGCGGAAGTATATGAGGCCCTCCAGACGAGGGAGAAGATGAAAGGTATGGTTCTATCTGACATGTCGTCCTCCAAGGGTGAAGTGTTGCAGGTTAGAGGCAGGCCCGAGCAGAAAACCTACAACAACAACAATAATTGAGACAAAGAGCAAGAACAGTAAAGGCCGTTCGAAGTCCAAAGGCAGGGATAAGTTCTGTAGGTATTGTAAGCAAGATACTCTTGTCATTGATGATTGCTGGAAGCTACATAATAAGGAGAAAAGAAACAGTACGTATAAATCAGAAAACAAATCCGATGGTGATGGTAAGGCCTCTGTTGTCTCCGCTGCTGATAGTTCTGATTTAGGAGATGTTCTTATTGTTCTTGCTGGTTGTGTTGCTGGTCATGATGAATGGATACTTGATTCTGCATGCTCGTTTCATATATGCTCTAACAGAGATGGGTTCAGTTCTTACGAGTCTACGCAGAGTGGAGATGTCGTACGTATGGGAGATAACAACCCACGTGAGATCGTGCGCATTGGCTCTGTTTAGATCAAGATGCATGATGGCATGATACGCACATTGAAAGATGTGAGACACATACCAGGGATGGCCAAAAATCTCATCTCCCTCAGCACACTTGATGCCGAGGGGTACAAACACTCCAGTTCAGGTGGAGTGTGTAAGGTATCAAAAGGCTCTCTCATTCATATGATAGGTGATATGAATTCTGCAAAGTTATATGTTCTTAGAGGAAGTACTTTACATGGTTCCGTCACTGCTGCTACTGTTTCTAATGATGAACCAAGTAAGACTAATCTCTGGCATATGCGTCTTGGGCATATGAGTGAACTTGGTATGACAGAATTGTTCAAGAGAGACCTGCTGGATGGCTGCATTGTGGGTCAGATGAAGTTCTGTGAGCACTGTGTTTTTGGTAAGTACAAGAGGGTAAAATTCAATGCATCTGTTCATATCACCAAAGGTACACTTGATTATGTACATGCTGATTTGTGGGGGCCGTCTCGTAAGCCCTCTTATGGTGGTGCTCGTTACATGCTTACTATTATTGATGATTACTCTAGAAAAGTGTGGCCTTATTTTCTAAAAAGTAAAGATGATACTTTTTCTCTTTTAAAGAGTGGAAAGTTATGATAGAAAGACAAACTGAAAAGAAGGTAAAATTGATTCGTACTGACAATGGCGGTGAATTCTGTTCGGATGCTTTTAATGATTACTGCAGGGAAGAAGGCATTGTCAGGCACCACACCATCACGTACACTCCTCAACAAAATAGTGTGGCTAAGCGCATGAACCGAACCATCATCCTGAGGGCTCATTCCATGTTGTCCAATGCTCGTATGAACAAGCGTTTTTAGGCTGGGGCTGCTAACACCACCTGTTACTTGATCAACCGGTCACCTTCTATCCCACTTAATAAGAAAACTCCCATTGAGGTATGGTCTGGTATGCCTGCTGATTATTCACAGTTGAGAGTTTTTGGTTGCACTGCTTATGCTCATGCTGATAATGGAAAGCTAGAACCTAGAGCCATTAAGTGTCTGTTTCTTGGTTATGGTTCTGGAGTTAAAGGATATAAGTTATGAAATCCTGAAACTAAAAAAACTTTCATGAGCAGGAGCATTGTTTTCAATGAATCTGTTATGTTTAATGACAGCTTGTCCACAGATGTTTCTCCAGTTGGTTTTGATGAGGAGCAGCAACATGTTAGCGTACATGTGGAGCACGTAGATGATCGGGAAACTAAAATTGTTGATAACAATGTTCATGATATTGTTCAGCACTCACGTCCTGTTTTGCAGCCTCAAAATCAGTCTATTGCAGATCGCAGAACAAAGAGGAATTATGGACCTCGTCCACGTTTAATTGAGGAATGTGATATGGTTCATTATGCCTTTAGTTGTGCTAAACAGGTGGAGAACATTCATGAGCCGGCTACATACACTGAAGCTGTTGTTTCTGGTGACCGCGAGAAGTGGATTTTCGCTATGCAAGAGGAGATGCAGTCACTCGAGAAAAATAGCATATGGGATGTTGTGCGCTTGCCTAAACAAAAGAAGGCCGTTCATTGCAAATGGATCTTCAAGAGAAAGGAGGGTTTATCTCCCAGTGAGCCTCTAAGATTTAAGGCAAGGTTAGTAGCAAAAGGTTTTGGTCAGATTCCTAGTGTTGATTATAATGATGTGTTCTCTCCAGTTATAAAGCATAGTTCAATTTGTACATTTTTTGGTATTGTTGCTATGCGAGATCTTGAGCTTGAGCAATTAGATGTAAAGACTGCGTTTCTACATGGAGAGCTCGAGGAGGAGATATACATGGACCAGCCAGAAGGGTTCATAGTACCTGGTAAGGAGGATCATGTTTGCAAATTAAAGAGGTCCTTATATAGTTTGAAACAGTCTCCTCGTCAATGGTATAAAAGGTTTGATTCTTTTATGATGTCACACAGTTTTAAAAGGTCTGAATTTGCTGTGTATATTAAATTTGTTGATGGATCACCTATATACTTGCTGTTATATGTTGATGATATGTTGATTGCTGCCAAGAGCAAGAAAGAGATCACTACATTGAAGAAACTATTGAGTAGTGAGTTTGGGATGAAAGATCTTGGTGCTGCTAAGAAAATTCTAGGTATGGAGATTACAAGAGACAGAAATTCTAGTTTGTTATTTCTTAGTCAGCAAAGTTACATTAAGAAAGTTCTTCATCGTTTCAACATGCATGATGCAAAGTCTGTTAGTACTCCTATTGCTCCTCATTTTAAATTATCAACTTTACAATGTGCTAGTACGGATGAGGATTTTGAGTATATGTCAAGAGTTTCATATTCTAGTACTGTTGGTTCTTTGATGTATGCCATGGTTTGCTCTCGTCCTGATTTATCATATGCTATTAGTTTGGTTAGTAGATACATGACTAATCCTAGTAAAGAACATTGGAAGACTGTTCAGTAGATTTTTAGGTACCTTCGTGGCATAACAAATGCCTATTTGAAGTTTGACAAGACTGATAAGGGACTCACTGGCTACGTGGATTCAGATTTTGCTGTCGATTTGGATAAAAAGAGATCTTTCATAGGTTATGTGTTCACTATTGGTGGTTGTGTTGTGAGTTGGAGACCAGCATTACAGCCCGTTGTTGCCCTGTCTACTACTGAAGCAGAATACATGCCTGTTGCTGAAGCATATAAAGAATCGGTTTGGTTGAAAGGTTTGTTTGCCGAGCTTTGTGGAGATGATTCTTGCAATAATTTGTTTTGTGATAGTCAAAGTGCTATATGTCTCACTAAAGATCAGATATTTCATGAGAGAACGAAGCACATTGATGTCAAATACCATTATATTTGTGATGTTGTCACGCAAGGTAAACTGAAGATATGCAAGATAAGCACACATGATAATCCTGCTGATATGTTGACAAAGTCAGTTCCTGTTGCTAAGTTTGAGCTTTGCTCAAACTTAGTTGGTATAACTGTTTAGCCCAAGAGGCTATTTGGCACCGGAAGTATTTCTTTGTTATTTTAGGGTGAAGGTTCGTTTTATGCTACAAAAAGGAATTTGTCTATCGACATGAAATTTCGTCCCGTGCCGAGGGCACACGAGTAAGCCGGAAAGGTCCGCTCGATGGAGCTAGAGATCCGCCTAGCTTCAGCATAGGGATGGTCGATCCCGCGCACTCCTCCTGAGACGTGCCAGTCAATTTGACCCTGCAATTGACAAGGAGAGAAAGTTTATCAGTAATTTAGGGCGGAACGTGCCGGTGTTGCCAAACAGTCCCGAATGTGCGGCTCTGAGAGCCGATATGAAAGGAGATCGACTAAATAGTCGATTTTAACATATTCATAAGAATAAATCAGTTAAAACTCATGGGGTTGTGTAAGAAGAATCGGTTATCGTTCAGGATGAATATCATTATTTAGACAAATATTGATAAATGGCAAAAGGATGTCAACAATGATTAATTTATGCTAAGCCAATGACTGCAAGTAACCGAACCCCTTTTATATAAAAGAAACATCTCGTCATCATTCAACCATTTAATAAAGATAAATCTAATAAACATATTAGATCTCATCTATCGCTATGACCAGTGGGGCATGAGGCAGAATCATGCATGCCATAATACAATAATAAGATCATGGGGCTAACACATCTTTTAACCTATCTTTACTTCAACGATCTCGTGACGTGAACTGTTCGTGAAAGCACTTGATATCGGCTAAAACAAGCGATTCAGCCATAGAGCATAGTTAAGGTCATGCCCTATCAGGAACAGATCTATCAAATAACGATCCCCACTCTACGATGCTAACAGTGGAGTGTGAGGCAGAATCACATAGACCGTGATAACGGGCCATAGAACGGTTTTCGCTAGCCAATAGCTCTACTCAAGATCAGACTGCCTTAATCGAACGCTATGCACGATCAAGATTGATATAAAACAGCCGATAAAATATAACTCATCGTTTAAAGTACAGATTAGATCAGTTTAGATTAACAAAGGATGGGTTAAATAAGATATAAGGCCGATCTAGATCAATCCCAATCGAGCGAAGTGATATTGCTGTAATTAAATAAATAATAAAAGAAATAAGCAATATCGGTAACTTAATGAATCTATCCGAAAGAACATCACTCTTAGATAGAGCCGATAACTTGATCTTGATCTAGTTCGAGCAGTGGGGGTCGACCAGATCGATACAACATTACTTGAACTAGACAAGAATCGATAACTAGCTTATATCAGAGTCGCAGTGGAGGTCGATCGGATCGATGCAGCCGTACGAACAGAAGTATAAGCCATGACGGTACTTACAGACAAGCAGTGGAGGTCGACCGGATCGATGCAGCCGTACTCGCTGAAGAACTCACCGAGATCTACTCTACTCCTACTCCTAAGGGGTGGCCGGAGCCGAAAAAAGTAAATAACTTGTATTGAATTGATTCTGTGTTTTACATTAGCCGGGGTTTGATATTTATACTCGGAACCTACGCACGACTCCTATCTAAGCATGACTCATCATAATATTTGGCCCTAGAGAAAATATTCCTAATTTAAGATAACTTGGACTCTAATCTTTCTCTTTTTGTAGAGTCCACCATGCCTTGTCCCGGCGCCGATCGTGGCATTTATCGTTATCTACTGGCGCTATCTGAAGAAAGCCGATTCCAGTGTTGCATTCGAATCAGCTGATACCGACCTGTACGCGATTGATTCCTCGATGACATGATCTTGTGAGCTTTCAAGTCCCTGCGATTATTCTTCTAAATTTTGGTGTAAACATTGTCTCAAGGTGGAGTTTATTGAGTTGTGATCCAAATTCAGTTATGTATAAGATAAATGCTAACTTCTGACGGAGCGAAGCGAGGCCCGTCGCCTATTAGGGTTTTTTCATCTCTATATATACTTCATGTAAGCCGTCGTATTGGGATAAGAAAAGTTGTAAATCCTGAACGTTTGTAACATCATCTGATATAGTGAAGTTTTGCTGGCTGGTGTCCGTGGTTTTTCCCTTTCTTACTTGGGAGGGTTTTCCACGTTAAAATCTCGTGTCCCCTGTATTTGATTTGCTGTTCTTCGTCGTTTATATTGCCTATCAATTCTAACAGGGAGGAGCCCACGATAATTGTCGTGTTTTTTTTCCAGACCTACGCCACGATAGCTTAAGCTTATTCAGTACTACTACTTTTCAGTCATAGAAGAATATTTTTTTTTCACAACATTTCAGCATAAACAACAGTATAAGCAGGGCTGGCTCTATAATTTTAAGGGCTTATGGGCAAGAAAAAGATAAGGATCCATTGAACTAATAAATTTTCATATAAAGATTCAAGCATATAGTATAAATAATAAAAATTACTTTGCAGTATATATGTACCTCATAAAACATAACAATAGTGTAAAAGAAAACAATAACCATCATGATTACGTCAAATAAAAAAATGCTTTAGCTCCTTGTAAAAAATGTCTTCGGCCATTTCTTGATTATAAACCCTACCACTATACAAGCAAATCGCATACACAAAAAAAAAATAGAGAAAAAAAGGCTTCATTTGCTTCAAGATGTGTTGCTTACTGTGATGCCTGTAGAGTCGCAGCTTGTGGTGCTGCCATCGCGGCGGTGTGCTGGACTGCCGGTGTGCCGGCAAGGCGGCGACTAGCATCCGAGCACGAGCGACGAGATCACGAGAATAGCAAGCGTCGTCGAGTGTCGGTCTGGGCGAGAACAGAATAGGAAGCGACGCGCCGCCGGCGTAAACGAAACGAATCGCTGCTGTACAGGAGACAAACGGCTGATATAGGACCAAATATATCTACTAATTATAATTACCTATATGATCTTGCCCCCCCCAGCTCCATGGGCCCCGGCGGTCGCACTGTTTGCCCCTCTCCTAGAGCCGGGCCTGAGCATAAACATAACATAAGCCAATTTCAACATAAGTAAACAAGGCGCTGATTAGAAGATTATTTTTATCCGGTGGTTTTGCCTCAAAATAGGTGTAATATTATTAGGCTTATGGACCATCCAAACAACGAATTCTAGATTGGGTTGGAAAAATATTAAAAACTATAATTTACAAGGGTTTTTGATTGAATACCACACTTCTAAACAGACCCTTAAGGAAAAAAGAAGCAGCCCAATCCGTATCTGACGAAGCTCCGTTGTTCTACGAGTAGTAATTGAACAGACGACGAAGGCCGAAGGCGCTAGAGATCGGGACACCCAAACGGCCAAACAGCTGGACTGCTGGAGCTAGCATTGCACATTTGCACTGCATGGAAGTAGGTGGAACAAAGGGGAGCTCGAGGCAGGCGTGTGCAGCGTTGATTGCTGCGGGAGTACGTGTCTGTGCTCGGGATGGCATAAAAGCAGCGGCGCATGTTACGCATCGTCCTGCGGCGCGGCGAGGAAGGATCACCGGTCACAGGTATGGATGAAAACGGTACGGATATTTATTCGACCGTCCGTTCGACCGAACAAATATGAACACTTATCTGGATAGTTACTCGGATATCCGTAATTTTTTCGGATACGGATAATAAAACGGATATCTTAGGCGGATATCAAATACGGATGTAATATCATCGATATCCGGCGGATATCGGATAATCCGGTTAAGTATCGGATATATCCGGATATTTTCAAACAGATATTATCCAGATATTATTCAAACGGCCTTGGATGGAGAAATGATCAAAATAAAAATTATAGATCTCAAAAAGTTATGAAACTTTGTTGATTACAACTTTTTCGTTTGAAATCATTTAGTGCTTAAAAATTTAAACCGTCCAAACTTTCTCAAATGAAAAACTAGTTTATAGACGTCAAAATTTAAAAATCACAAATTTGAACCATCCAAACTATCTCAAATGGAAAGTTGGCCAAAACAACAATTGTAGATCTTGATGAGTTGAACAAACTTGATATTCAAAACTTTTCAATTTGAAGTCATTTAGAGTTCATAATACTAGAGTAAAAGGGTTGTTTTTTCATTTGACCAAATTTGACTTGATCAAACTTGCTCAAATGAGACACTAAATGACCTCAGATGAAAAAACTCTGAATACTAAGTTTGATCATCTCAACAAGATCTACAATTGTTACATAGCTCATTTTCCCATTTGAGAAAGTTTTATCAAACACTAGTCACAAATTCTTGAATCTCGTATAGACTTTGTGAAACTATGTCACACACTTATGAAATTTGAACTATATTTTGTTCAAACTTTCTCAAATGAAAAAATGGCCTATACAAGGATTGTAGATCTTGATGAGATGAACAAACTTGGTATTCAAAACTTTTCAATTTGAGACAATCTAGGGTTCCGAAAACTAGTTTGTAAACATCGAAATTTAAAAATCACAAATTTGAACCATCCAAACTATCTCAAATGGAAAGTTGACCAAAACAACAATTATAGATCTTGATGAGCTGAACAAACTTGGTATTCAAAACTTTTCAATTTAAAGTCATTTAGAGTTCATAATACTAGAGTCAATGTGTTGTTTTTTCATTTGACCAAATTTGACTTGGTCAAACTTGCTCAAATGAGACACTAAATGACCTCAGATGAAAAAACTCTGAATACCAAGTTTGATCATCTCAGCAATATATACAATTGTTACATAGCTCATTTTCCCATTTGAGAAAGTTTTATCAAACACTAGTCACAAATTCTTGAATCTCATAGACTTTCTGAAACTATGTCACGCACTTGTGAAATTTAAACTACATTTTGTTCAAACTTTCTCAAATGAAAAAATGGCATATATAAGGATTGTAGATCTTGATGATCTGAATAAACTTGGTATTCAAAACTTTTCAATTTGAGACAATCTAGGATTACGAAAACTAGTTTGTAAGCATCAAAATTTAAAAATCACAAATTTGAACCGTCCAAACTATCTCAAATGGAAAGTTGACCAAAACAACAATTGTAGATCTTGATGAGTTGAACAAACTTGGTATTCAAAACTTTTCAATTTGAAGTCATTTAGAGTTCATAATACTAGAGTCAAAGTGTTGTTTTTTCATTTGACCAAATTTGACTTGGTCAAACTTGCTCAAACGAGATACTAAATGACCTCAGATGAAAAAACTCTGAATACCAAGTTTGATCATCTCAGCAAGATCTACAATTGTTACATAGCTCATTTTCCCATTTGAGAAAGTTTTATCAAACACTAGTCACAAATTCTTGAATCTCATATAGACTTTCTAAAACCATGTCACACACTCGTGAAATTTGAACTACATTTTATTCAAACTTTCTCAAATAAAAAAATGGCCTATATAAGGATTGTAGATCTTGAATCCATGACCATGACTCCATGAGACCCATGAAGCCATGAGCTTGGCTATTTCTACTCATGTCGCGAAGATTGGTGCTTGTATGATGTATGATGTATCTATATCTTTATCTTATTTGTTGCTTTACTCTTTAGTCTTTCGGCTTAATCTAGATGGATTATGGACTCATAGAGTGGTGTAATGGTTTGCGCACGTATGATATATATATATATATATATATATATATATATATATATATATGCTGCTTTTACTCAATATCCGAATAGATATTTGTATCCGACCTTCTCCGAATCCGATTCATACCGTATTCGATACTCATTATTCGTATCCGTAACCGAGTCAATCCGTATTAGTATATGTATCCGAACGCTATTCGTGTCCGAATCCGAATTCAAACAGAAATATAAAAACAAATATAATATGAGTGATATCCGTTCGTATCCGATCCGTTTTCATCCCTAGTCACAGGTGTCACGGCGCTCCCGCTGGCCCACGGATCCCGCTGCAGCGTTGCTGGAAGCACGGTTCATTCATTTGCCTCACCAACGGAGGCCCTGATCCTGTGTGGCGCGATCTCTGCGACCGTGTGCCGACAAGTGTTGTCGGACTCGGTGGGTATGGGATTAGCTTTAATTTTGAAAGAGCGTTGGCGGTGCTCCAGCAAAGATTTAATTTGGTGCGTGGATGTTGATTTCTCAAAGTGGCTATGCAATTCTTTAGTTGTAAATACACCTAAACTAGCACATCCTACTTTGAAAGGGATAAATCATATTTGGTGTGCTCGACTGTGAGCACCAGCTAGCCTAAAACAGACAACAAAGACCATTTATAGGAGCGTCTGCAGCAGCTAGCCGAAAGTAGCACTTCCAATTAGATTGATTATCCATCACAGAGAATAATAAGACATACAAAATCAATATCTTTTACTACCATTTTGAGAATAATAAAAGTATTTTCATTGGAGAAAAGAATCTCTTCAATACGTTGTTATCTACTAATCATCTGCTAACACAAGCTTTACATGTTCTTAACGTGTATATAATTTGACTATTTAGTTAATAAAGTTTATAAAATATGACTTTTTCATATATAGATATGTTTATCGTTCTGGGATGGAGTGAGTATGTTGATACAAAAGAGTAAAATTGAATCTTATATGTTCTACTAAAAATATCGTCCACTTGATTTTTGGTTTGCACAAAACAACAATTTTCTCACCTTGTATCAACCCAAATCATCAGCGAGTTTAATTTAACACTTTGAAATTTGGAACATCAAACTTACGCTTAGATGGTCTAGATGTACATTCACGTCCTCATGGTCTCAACCAATTGAGTTAGGTTTAAATTTCTACTGTGAACTATAAAATATATAGATGTACATCCATGTCCTCATGGCCTCGACCAATTGAGTTAGGTTTAAATTTCTACCGTGAACCATAAAATATATAAGTTGAAGTTTAGCTCCAATATGTCTATCAACAATTATTTATTGCACCTTACCTATTTTAGACTTTGTTTGCAAGAAGGAAACTTGTTGTAGGTACCGTTGTATTCACGGAGACAAAAAGTCCTTAGCATTGAATTTCACTACTTCGGCTAAGATCTGCTCCATCAAGCAAGAAGACACTGGGCACCTGACTGGAGACGGCCCAACCGCCGGAAGGCCCGGGAGGAAACAACACGGCACCATCACGCCGCGCACGGAGGATCGGGATCTCGGTCTCGCGGAGGACACAAGTCACGGAACCCGCACTGCGTACACCACCACTGCGACTGGCGAGTCCTCCCGATCGACCAACCCCCGTCCCTTCCCTTCTCCGTGTCAGTCAGGAAAAGACCGCGCGGCGCGAGCCACGAGGGCGGTCACTGGTCAGGCGTCAGGGTCATCCCCATTTCTCCTCGAGTCCCCACGCCCAGGTACGGACACCCTCCTACTCCGCCTTCCCCGCGCCCCGCGCCCCGCGCCCCGCGCACGCCCACCCCAGTCCAGTCCAGCCGGAGGAGGCCAGATCAAAGCGCCACCGCCACGCCGCACTCTACTCTCGCTAATCCCGCCGCCGCCCAGGGGTCGCGAGGAGGAGGATGAAGCCCAAGAGCCTCCCGTTCATCGCCTTCGAGCACAAGCGGTGCGTTCCCTCCTTCACCCACCCGGCCACCCTCCCGCTCCCGCCGCGCTTCGATAGCTTCCGACGAGTTCGGGCTCCTTCCCTCTGTTCCGCTGTGGAGGTTCCCGCTCCGCGTCCGCGGGTTTTGACGTACGAGCACTTTTTCGCTTCCCGGGGATCTCGGTCCGTTGCGGCGCTTGTTTTTTTTTTTTTGCTGGATTTTTTTTTCTGGAAATGCGGCGGGAAATTCCGCGCGCTTGTACGCGCCCACTGGGAATATGGTCACGTCCACGAATCGGAGGAAGAGTAGGTGTTTAGCTTCGTATGAATTTGTTGGTGGAATTGCCCGAATCGGGAGCTCTGCGGTGCACTGCGGTTTGTTTTTTTTTGAAAGATCTGGAGTTTCTGTGGCCGTTTCCTGCACTAGGAGGGGCGGTTTAGGTTTCGTTTTGGCAGGGCTGCGGGTTCTGGAATTATGTCGTGTAGTCATCAAATTCGGAGTGAATATGACTAGCTATAGCGAATACCTCTCATTGCTTTGAATCTGGGAGGGGATGCACGTGCAGAATCCTCGAAGTTTCAAGCGCTAGATTGCTGCATTTTAGTTGGAAACACTCCTTTCTGATGCTGTGTGATTGAATCAGGGATGCATACGGCTTTGCTGTGCGGCCGCAACACCTGCAGCGTTACAAGGAGTACGCTGGCATCTACAAGGTAGAAGACACACTCCTAAATTTTCATCTGCATTGTCTGATCTTGACACGCTGCACACCTATTTGGTGCTGTACTTGTAGGAGGAAGAGGAGGAGAGGTCTGATAGATGGAAGAATTTTCTGGAGAGGCAGCCTGAGTCATCTGGACAGGACGCTGGTGATAATGCTAAGGGTGATGGTTCTGAATCACTGCATGAGAAGACGGTGGCAGGGCCACGGAAGATTGAAATATGGACGCCAATCAGATCGTCCCTGAGCAACATTGAGCAGATGATGAGCCTGCGCATCGAGAAGAAGCAATCTTCTGCTGGCAAGCAGCAAGCAAAGGACGGAACCCATCCTGTGAAAGTTGAAGAGGGCAAGTTGTCAGAGGATTCAGATGACGAATTCTATGATGTAGATAAGGTTGATCCGAGCCAAGAAGTGCAGTCGAGTGATACTGGGAATGCTGATGCCGGAAGCAGGAATCAAGAAGAAAATTTCATTTCAAAGGAAGAGTTGGAGTGTCTGGTCCATGGTGGACTACCGATGGCTTTGAGGGGAGAGGTGCAGCCTGATCACCTAGAGCATTTTGTTTCTTTCTTTTAGTTTTGATTTGAAGGGCGGGCCTGGTGCAAGCGGTAGAGTCTCACTTTGGACCGGAAGGTCCCGGTTCGAAGTCATGGGTCTCCTCGCATTGCACAAAGCGAGGGTAAGGCTTGCCCCAGACCCGCATGCAGAGCGGGAGCTCTCTGCACTGGGTACGCCCTTTTAGTTTTGATTTATTCAGTTCATTCAGCAGCTCTGTTCTTTTCTGGTGACAGCTATGGCAAGCTTTTGTTGGTACTGGAGCTCGTAGGGTAGAAGGGTATTATGATAGTCTTGCAGCAGAGGGTGAATTAGATAACAAATGTTCAGATTCTCCAACCTCAGAAGGTGTTCATGAAAAGTGGATTGGGCAAATAGATAAGGTAGCTGTTTATGGACATTTTCATGGGGAAGCTTCTTGTATTTTTTTGATAAAATATACTGCTGTACTGGAAAGTCTAATAGAGTCCAATATGTACCTTGATCCTTATAGGACTTGCCCAGAACTTTTCCTGGTCATCCTGCTTTAGATGAGGATGGAAGAAATGCTTTGAGACGCTTGCTTATAGCTTATGCGAAACACAACCCATCAGTTGGTTACTGCCAGGTAAATCTACCCTTCACACATTGATCCTCATTATTGCCTTTTATCTTACCAAAAGTCAATTGCTTCTTTGGATCTCCAAAAAGGCAGTCCAATATATATTTTTTAGTTCTCATCTCACACCACACAAGTGAATCTAAAACCTAACATTCAATGCTTCCAACAAATATGAAATAATTACAATCTTTCTCAATCAATATTCTGTGTGTACTTTATTATTTATCAACATTTTATCTCAACATTTCTCTCAGCATAGTTTTGTCGATTGAATACCTCATCTCACTCCACACAAGTGAATCTAAAACCTAACATTCAATGCTTCCAACAAATATGAAATAATTACAGTCTTTCTCAATCAATATTCTGTGTGTACTTTATTGTTATAAACATTTTATCTCAGAAATCCAACATTTCTCTCAGCATAGGTTTGTGTATTGAATACTGTAGGCAATGAACTTTTTTGCTGGTCTCTTGCTTCTATTGATGCCAGAAGAGAATGCATTTTGGTATGCCCCAGGACAATTTGTTGTATTTCATGTTGTTGTTGGATTAAATAATCTGTTAATTTTATCGCTGGTGTATGTTACAGGACATTGGTTGGGATTATGGATGACTATTTTGATGGCTACTTTTCTGAAGAAATGATCGAGTCACAGGTATGTGAATTGTCTATTTCTCACTTAGTAATGTTTGTTTTGCATGTTAGGGGTGCTTGTGCTTGAAGCCCCCAGTTCAATTCATTCTCATGCAGAGGCCAAATTTTGGTTGTCCTTCAGGTGGACCAGCTTGTTTTAGAGGAGTTAGTTCGAGAGAAGTTCCCTAAATTAGGTTAGCAACCTATCATGAACAAATTGTAATATTGGTGGCATGTGACTCTTTCTGCACTAATGTGAAAAAAGTCCAAGCATTAGGATTTAACATACTTTCTTGATGCAGCAAATCACCTGGATTACCTTGGACTTCAAGTTGCATGGGTTACTGGGCCATGGTTCTTATCCATCTTCACAAATGTGCTTCCCTGGGAAAGTGGTTAGACTTTATTTTACATTATTTCCATTACTAAGTACTTGTAGAAGAACATTCTCTATAAGTATAGTTTAGCTAATGCGATGGGGTTACCTTCACCAAGCACATTGACTTTTCTAATTTTGGACTCGGCATTGCTTCTAATGGACACATGAACAATCGTGATCTCATGCAAGGGAAATAGTGATCAAAACCCCTATCTAAGAAAAGGAAACTAGATGATTATGATCTAGGTCTTTATAAGGAGAGACTGAGAGTGAATGAGAAGTGGTAAAGTAAGCATTCACTAAAAGGTGTGAAAGATAACTAGGCCTGTATTATATATTATTGGTGATTATAGGGTACCCAGGAAGACCATATAAAACACACTAACTCTATGTAAGCAATGAAATCTGCTTGTAGTGACCCTAGACATATATTCGACAAAACTTTACATCATGTTTACAGTTTATTTCTGAATTTTACATTTCAGTTCTCCGTGTTTGGGATGTGCTTTTGTTCGATGGAAACAGAGTAATGCTGTTCCGGACAGCTATTGCGCTACTGGAGTTCTATGGTACTGGGAAATACTTTTGCTTCATTTCAATTTCCAAAAAAAAAAAATATATTTGTAGCCAGATACACAGAATTCTTCTAAGAATGTCTGTAGACTCATGCTTGTGTTAATTGCAGGCCCTGCACTTGTGACTACAAAAGATGCCGGTGATGCAGTTACCCTTTTGCAGTCTTTAGCTGGTTCCACTTTTGACAGCAGTCAGCTTGTCTTTACAGCTCGTATGGGATATCAATCCGTAAATGAAACAATATTGCAAGAACTAAGTAATAAACACCGCCCACCTGTTATATCTGCAATGGAAGAAAGAGCGAAAGGTCTAGGTGTTTGGACGGATACCAATGGTCTTGCATCAAAACTGTATAACTTTAAACGTGACCCTGAACCACTGGTTTCTTTAAGCGATTCAACAGACCAGTTGAGTGATGTGGGAGATGGGGATGCCAATGAAGAAAGTGATCCTGGAAACATGGATGACGAGTATGGTGGTGTGACAGTGAATTCTGAGATTGATTCTTTGCCTGATCCAAAGGACCAGGTAGCCTTCTCAATCATAGTCTCTAAATCCTGTTATCTATATACTCTGAAGGATTGTAATCTTTGCCATCTTCTTTTCCTTTTGCTTGACCAAACCAAGAATTTTCTGTAGTTTGTCATCCCATGGTAGTAATGCTTAGTTTTAACACCACAGGTTGCCTGGCTGAAGTTGGAGTTGTGCCGACTCCTAGAGGAGAGAAGATCAGCTGTTCTCAGGTCTGCTTATTCCTTTCCAAATTTCCATCACTTATTTTGTCATAAGAAGCTGGAACAGTTTTACATGTGATTACAGTTTGAGTTTCTCACCAGATTTAACCAGCAGTTAAAGTTATAATTTGATGCATTGGTATGGGTAATTTTCTCCTTTCTTTTCATGTGCTTCCTGGGGACTAGTTTTCTGCAGTAATATGAACTGAAGCTGCTAATTTTTTTTTCACCTCATAAATCCACCATCATCGCTGGAAAATATATCCGAAATTCCTGACTTGGTTGACCACATACATTGTATGAAATATAAAAAACGAATCGACTGTTTGGAAGCAAGCTCGAGAAAACTGTTTACTGATGTAAAGTTCTAGCTATTGTTACTCATGTTGTGAAACTGGTAAACACGAGATATTTTTAAACAGCACGATCATGCCCTTTCAGCTGAATATTTTCTTTTCAGTCGAACTGTTCTTTTACCTTCTTTCTTCTTTTTGCTTTTGCAGAGCTGATGAACTAGAAACAGCACTTATGGAAATGGTTAAGCAAGACAATAGGCGCCAATTAAGTGCAAAGGTATAGAGTAGTTTCCTGTTATTTACAGAGAAAATATTCAATTATTTCCTGTTATTTACAGAGAAAATATTCAATTATGGAAATATCCAGAATCTAGATTGCACAGCACTATCTTCGTATCTCATTCAAGCCCACAACAGTCATGTGCATACACATAGGAATAAAAGAAAATGAGAAATGACGACACATGTGAATGTGCCCCTATCAACTTGCAATACATGCTACGATAACGAAACCTCTTTGACATATTAAATTAGTGGTAGAGGTTTGAGATGTTGCTAGACCTGCACTCTTGCTTTTATTAATGAACATAAGAACATTTATTTTTGAAACTCCTGACTCCTGAGCAAATGAGCAAAAGGTCTATGCTGTAACGTAGGGAGTACTATTTAGTTTGTTGCAAAAATTGCTTCTAACTATGTTTATTTAGCTTGTCTTCATAAAGTATAACAGCATATAAGTATGAATCTGTTATTAATAGACATTTCACCATATTAAATGATGTAAAAGTTATGGAGTATAAATTACTATATGATTTTTAAGAGTAATTTAGAAAATTTGTCAAAATTTTATTGGTATAAGCTAAGGACCTTTTGTGTTCTTAGAGCAATGGAACTGAACATATTTGCACTTTTTTCTTTCAGGTTGAGCAGTTGGAACAAGAAATATCTGAACTAAGACAGGCCCTATCAGACAAGCAGGAACAGGAGCAAGCAATGTTTCAGGTAAAGTTGCTCTCTGTCCATTCTCTATATGCATTTCTATACTACATAATACACTAACCAGGAGTCTTGTTAAAGGTCCTGATGCGTGTCGAACAAGAACTGAAAATTGCAGAGGAAGCTCGCATCTCAGCCGAGCAGGATGCTGCTGCTCAGAGATACGCAGCAAATGTTCTACAGGTTAATCAATGACTTGATCTATTTTGAACGTCAGCTCTCTTGTTTTATCCATATAAGCTATTTCCAGTTGAGCTAGGTCTGTTACACAGTGTAGCAAAAGATAACTTTTACAGTGTTTGTTAACATATAAACATAGACTTATCAAAGCAGCAGCTGTAATATTAGTGCTTGGAAAATTCTCAGTAAAATTGAAACAGTTTTGGCCTTAGCTAGGGTCTGTTCCTCATAAACAAACTAATTGAAACAAATGTACCTGGCTGAGGTAACCAGTTTGACTACTAATTCAGAATAAATCTTGCAACGATAGTTCAGAAATTATCTGGGTCTTGTTGAAAACCTGTCAAAATGGTCAAATATTTTTTGCTTTCTGTAAAGTAGTACTGTTGAATGATACCTTTGGTCACGACTTTTGTCGCTATATATGTATTTTTCCTTCTTAGACATGACCCAAAAATTAAGAAGCTCGATTTTTATTTTGATAAGAAAATTGGATGGCTTTCACTGACAGCCTGCCATGTACTGGCTTTCTTAGGGTAAACAGGCATGAACCCGGCTTGCAAGTTGCACCAATCACATTATTTTAAGGATATTGTTTAGAACAAGTGGTCTCTAAACAATGAAAGCATCCTGTTTTGTTCCTTTTTTTTTTCATTGTTCAAAGTTCAAACTAGTAATACCAATATTACTGAAGAGCTGGTACTGGTTCTTCAATTATACTGTTGTCACTACTTATTATCGTTTTATCGGAATTAGCAAAAATAGTATGTCTCTTCTTTCTACTCTTGTTTTACCCTAGCTTGTTCCACACTTACAGGATCATGACATGTGTGCAGGAAAAGTACGAAGAAGCTATGGCTTCACTTGCCCAAATGGAGAACAGAGCTGTAATGGCAGAAACAATGTTAGAGGCTACACTGCAGTACCAATCTAGCCAGCAGAAAGCACTGTCCCCTTGCCCTTCTCCAAGGTATCTTAATCTTATCTATTCTCACAATTCTTAGTGTGAGATGGACAGCTCTTAAAACTAGCAATAAGGCAGTGCTAATATACCAGTCATTTTTCTGTTGTTAATTTCTCACTGTTGGCAATTGAACTTTGTTTAATGCCGCTTCTGTCCTCCTATGGTTTTTCAACTCAAAACTAACATAATGTAACATCATGATGATTGATTTTCGTTATGTAGCTTCCTGGCACTTTGTTGACATAATTTTCTAATGTTGATATATTTGTTGCACTTGTTCCCCTTCTAGACCATCAATGCTCGATGCATCCCCTACTCAGGCAAGCCAGAATTCATCACAGGAGTTCCAGCCAAGAAGGAAAAACTTGCTTGGCCCATTTTCCCTGAGTTGGCGTGATAAGAACCAGGTAATTTCTTCTGACTGAAAGATAACAACTCCGAGACATAAGAAACATGTATATGGTTGGTTGTTATTGCCACTTAAAACTGCTTATATAAAAAATTAAGTTAAATATTTGTAGTATGGAATTCCATTCTTTTAGTTAAAAACATTAGATTTATTTTATCTAACATCAATGGTAAAGCTGTGTCCCCGAATTCCATATGAATACGTTTTACACCAATTTCTAGGGTGTATATTCTACCTGTTTGCTTCAAGGACCAAAAATCACCTTATTTTCATTTCTTCAAATGTGAGAGCCTCTGGTTATTGTTGTGACTTTGAATTCTTTTAGCATACACAGCATTTTCCATTGTTGGTTTATATATGCAAAAGCACGCTGTTGCTTTCTACTCACCTTTAAACTTGTTTTCCCCATGATTCCTCACAGGAAAAGCAGAACAATGCTGATGACTCTGCGAACACAAAGTTTACCAATATTGATGAAATGGTAGAAACCTCCAACAGAGATGATGAGAAGCAGAGAGAAACACTAGATCTAGATAATGAGCAAAGAGCAGAATCACCCAAAGAAGATGGCAAGATGAGAACAGAGACGCCTGAGAAAGACAACGATCTGCCAGGGGTCCAACTAGCCACGGACGGTTTGAATGGGCACCATGAACAGATGCAAGAAATAAAACTGGATTGATAAGCACAATGACACCCAGTCCAAATATCTTCGCCACTAATATCAGTGTATTTATGATCTGATCACACGGTGCCAGTTGGTGGCAGCACTGAGGGTGGCCTAAAGTTTTGAGATACTCCGGTCCCCCCCACCCCCCACCTCCTCCTTCCCCTCTGTGGGTTCCCGAATTCTTTTTGCTACCACTTCTAGGTTTCATGTTTCTTCTCCCCATTTTTATAATTTGAGAAGAGAAAAGGAGCAAGTTATATGGTTGTCCATTGGTTGCTGCCTTCCAATGTAAATGCATTGGAAGAACTGTAAGAAAAAGATGAGAATTATGGGCAATTATGACATGCTTATTCTTGTAAATTATCATATTATTTAGAGTTCATGGGTGCTTTCAATTGAAGATGTCCGTGTTGGCGTTAACAATACCACTGAACCTTGACATGCAACCCTATTTTGCACAGCTTATTTCTCAGCTTCTCCGAGGATTTTATAGCGGCTTTTTAAATCTTTTGGAAACGAAAGATGCCGACTCTAGCAACGAGACCACAGAGGGTCGATATTACAACAGCTGATTACAAGAGCTGTTGCGCATATTTCTCCAGTTAAGTTGGTGAGCACCAGGTCGGCAGGTCCAGTAGTGAGCTTTCGGGCACTCGCTTCTTTTTCTACATGCAGTAATTCATCTGGAGTTGTGGACTTTTCGAGTCTTTCTGAGAAACCTTCGATCTGAAACAATTATGCACTGTCATACAGGGTGTGTTTGGTTGCATGGCTAAATCCTAGCCTGGCTAAGATTGGAGCCAGGTTGGGTTTGGCCAGGTTCCATCAAGCCAACATGTGCTTGTTTGGTTGGGATGCTATTGATGGCTTGGTTTAGCTCAGATTTTGTTTGGTTGGCTGCATGAGCTCCTGGCTATACTAGTGTAGCCAAGGAAGGGTGTGTTTGGTTTGTTGGACACAGCTGGGTGCATTCACCCATTGCTTCAATCAGCATCATTACCCCCTCCCCTGTTCTCCCTCAATAAATACGCACCCGGCACCCACGAGCTCGGTCACCCCCATTCGCTCACCTTCCCATGACCCCTCGTCTCCCTCTCGCTGCCCCGTCGGCTCCTTGTCCTCCCTCGAACCCGTTGCTGGCGAACCATCCCACCTGCGTCGATGAGCAACAACGCCGCCGCCGCGGACTCCTTGGAGGTGCGCCGCGCCCTGGGCTATTGCACTGGTGGCTCCAGGTGCACATGTGCCTCCCACTCGACGTCTCCGCTCCGTTCCCCGGGCGCCGAGTCTCCGTCGAGGAGCCGCTCGGTGAGGAGTGATGACGGGAACTCCGTCGACTCGTCGGAGAACCGCGACAACGAGGACAACGCCACATCCGAGGTAAAGGATCGTTCCCGTCCTGCTCCCCTCCCCCCTAGGGTTTAAGTTGGAATGCCAAAAACCCATTTTCCCCTTTGGAGATCGCAAGGATAGGTGCCGATTTTTTATGGATTGTTGACCCAGACCCTAGGATAGGTGTCAATTTATGCTGGATTCATGTGCAAAACCCTAGGCTTCATTCGTAGATGCGCATTAGTGCTGGATTTTTGACCAATTTGAGGTTTCCCCCCTGTTCTTCGTAGGACCAGAGCTACTCCTGCATCCCTGATGCTGTCCACGAGACTGATTGGTCTGGCATGCATGTTTTGAGGATTCACAAGTGTGAACATGGTCGCCATGCCATTCTGAAGAAAGCTTGGGGTGGGAAGCATACAGGCAGGCGCTTCTTGGGATGCCCAATGCAGGTTTGTGCTTCAATCGTTCATTGATTGATCTGTCAAATGTTTTCGTTTCCATCTAATTGCTCATGAATCAAACACTTGTCACATTTTCGAATTACTCAATTGTGGTAACCTTTGACTCACGCAGGATGAGGCTGATTAGTGCCAGTTCATCGAGTGGATGGATGAACCCTGGCCAGAATGGGTTCAGGACTGCTTGAAGGAACTGTGGTAGGAGCTCAAGGTCACCAGGCGTTGTGAGGCCACCACAAATGAAGCTCTGATTGATGCTACCAACTCCAATGATGTGGCCACAAATGCAAGGGTGGCGCTGCAGGAGGAGGTGAACCGCACCAAACGAGTTGCTGAGCGCGTCTGCTTCACATACCATAGGAAGGCTGCCCTCGTTGCTGTGGACAAGAGCAAGCTGATGTACCTGGTCTACTGCCTGCTTGGAGTGATCATGTTCCTAGTGGTAGCCATCTTGCTCAAGACCAACTGATGCCTAGGACATGCAGATGGTAATGGCGGTCTTTTGTTTTGATGTTGCGCCAAGTTGAAAGTACAATCAAGCCTTAATTGTGGGTTTTGGTGATAATGACCATGCAATTAGAGGACTAATGAGATTTATCAAGATGACAAGCAGGGAATATATAATCGAGGATGTTAGACGAAATGGAGGTGCTCTCAATTACAAATGTCGATGGCTTCAAACTCAAAGAAGGTTTAAATTCTTTTATATTTTGAATTTGAGTATAGGAAAAGCCGTACTATAAAGGGGGACACAATGCTTGAGCTAACATGTGCTATCAAGTGCTCTATCTTACACCTACATCCTCAGTTACTCAGCTAAGACAGCCATCACTTCACTCTTACCCTTGCTGTCTTGCTTTGTGCGGTAGTGCCGCACTTAAAGAGAGGCACTGCCGCTGAGCGGCACTGCCACAGTTAAGCCACGATATTACCGTGACTTAAGTGACCGTTGGGGGTTGGGGGTATTTATACCTTTCCCCTTCCTCTCCAACGTCTCTCTTCTCTCTCTGAACCATTCAGTTCGCCCAAGAACAGAAAAGTGCTCATCTCTCTCTCCTCCATTGGTGACCTTAAGCTTTCACGCTTCTCCATTGATTTCCCTATCAATCCTTGAGAGAAAAAGGTGCCAAACTCGATTAGAGAGCAGATCCACTGATTCCCAAAGCCTAAAGAGCACTTAGTTCACGTTTTGACCGGCGATTGTGTTTGTTACTCTTGGAGCTTGGCTCCTAGCCGGCTAGAGCATCGCCCGTGGAGCTTGCCAACTTATGTGGCAGCCCCGGGAGGTTTGTAACTATCTCTTGCAGCTAGTAAACTCACCCCTCATCTCAAGAGGTAACTCTCTTAACTTGAGAACAAGAAAGGGTTGCAAAGCCCTAGCCTTAGTGGCAACCTCAACAACATGGACTTAGACAAGCCTTGGTGGCGAGCTGAACCATAGAATAAATCATTGTGTCACCTTGTGCTTGATTTATTTCACTTGCATATCATATTATTGTTGAGGTAGATTCTAGGGTTTGTGGCCGATCTACTTGTGTGTGGAGTTCCTACCACTTCTAGCTCTCGATCTGTGAACCTCATACCTGCAGGAAGCTAAGGAATTTCTCTGATCTAAGTTTCCATTCACTGATTTTGGACTGTGACTCAAAGTTGTTTGCAGGTGCGGTAGTGCCGCTGTCCAGCAGTGCCGCGAGGTCAGAGAGGTTGTGCCAAGGGTGAAATTTGACATCTACTTGAGTTTTGTTTTAAACATGCCTATTCACCCCCTCTAGGCTAACCAGAGATCCTACAAGTGGTATTAGAGCAGGTTACCTCGCGTGCGCTTCACCGCGTGAGGTATGGAGCCTAGAGAAGGTACTAGTGGCGTGAAGCCGGTGGACGTTGATCTAGAGGATGTGGAGCTGCATGACACTGACAATAGCGAACTAAGTGCTTCTATAGCAAGCAATACCACACTCCCATAGCTTGAGGCTACCGATGCTGAGAAAGCTCAAAATGATGAAGAAAGAAGAAAAAGGAAGAAAGCTAGAAAAGCAAGAGAAAAGAAGAAGGAGCAACAAAGGCTTGAAGATAAGAAGCAAAGAAAAGAAGAAAGAAAGCTCAAGAGAGAAGCAAGAAGAAAAAGAAGAGAAGCTAGTAGGAAGAAGAAGAAGAAGAAGAAGAAGAAGAAGAAGAAGAAGAAGAGAAGGTAACCAATGCATCATCAAGTGACATCTCAAGTAGTTCCGAAGATGGAGATGATGATGAGTCCTACCAAGTGTCAAATGGGGCAAGAAGGAAAAGAAAGGAAAGGGCAAGTCGACTCCAACAATAAATATGCCGCCGTATCCTTTAACTATTCCTCTATGCCTATGACTAACCTTAATAGGAAGTCTTTTATCAATGTGCCCGCGGGCAAGTTACCTCATTTCGATGGGACTAATTTTGCCAAGTAGAAGCACTTGATGAGAGCCTATCTTATAGGTCTTCATCCCGGCATTTGGGAGGTTGTTTGCAATGGATTTGAGCCACCGGTTGATCCCAAGAATCCAACACTAGATGAAATGAGAATTATTCATCTCAATGGTCAAGCCACAAGTGTGTTGCTTAGTGCTTTGGATGGTGATGAGTACAATAGAGTCATTGGTGTTGATATTGCCAAGCAAATATGGGACACTTTGCACCTTGCACATGAAGGGGTTGACAAAGTGAGGAAGTTAAGAATTGATTTGTTGATGGCAAAACTCAACCGGTTCGTAATCATGGATGGAGAAGGGCCATAAGAGATGTTTGATAGATTGATGACTATGGTGGGCAAGATTAGAGGCTATGATTGTGACGAGCTAGATGATCACAAGGTTGTGAAGATCATGTTGGAAGCTTACTCAACTAGAAATAAGACCGTAGTGACTCTAATTAGAGACAAGAAGAAGTTTGAGTACTTCACACCAAATGATATATACACGTTCAGATCTGCGATTGTATTTCCAACTAACTGTCGACATGTGCGAAGACGCGCGTGATGAACTAGTAGTACATTTCATGAAAGATCCTTCGCTTACTGAAAACATGGGAGAAGTATCGTCATCATCTTCATCAGTTAGAGTCAGTGCTTGTCTCAACAACAAGAGAGCCATTAACTGAACATAAAAGGTAAATGGATGTTATGAATAAAAAAGAAAGCCCTGCTGTTTTCAGTGGCAACAATCTCAATAGTCAAATACACCTGTTCTTTGGTCA